CGAGGAGTCCACAATAATAAAGCCCTTTGGACATTATATTCTAAAGTTTACGCATGTTCAACTAATCACAGAAACTTCTTCTGAACTCAGCATTGGGGTGAATGAGAAGCTCCCACTTATGGGAAGACTTCTATGCATGCTTATTGAATATGCTTACCAGTCTCTTGCAAACCTTTGCATTTTATGTGCAAAAACCTGAATAAGCAGCAGCTGTATAGCCAGGAATGCCCAAAGTTCCCCTCCAAATAAGGATGGAAGCTTCTTCTTGATCCTTATTTATTTAAATTATTCGCTTAAATGGGAATAAGAGCAGCAGGAAGTTATGAGGGGAAAGTATGTTGCAAAGGAGGTCAACTACAGAAAACATGGCAAGGGCAGCATAGAATAGCTACAATCATTGAATATATTAATGCAGCAGCATGTTTCGTTGACAAAATTTATTTTTGACTGTTGAAACTGTTAAGCTAGTGCTGTTTAAAACTACCTCTGCATTCCTTGTTCACTGGATGAGACAATTGTTATAATGATATATCATAATGACATTTTGTTATCATTTTGCTGTCCATAGAAGAAAAATAACTTGGTGGAAACTTTGCTACAATGCATTCTATTTTGACAAATTAATTTGTTGTAATATAGGGAGAAAAAGCAATTAAATTCACAATTCAAAGTTCATGGAATCAGGTTTAACATACTTGCTTCCTGAAATAATGTGGAATAAAGTAAGAAATAACTGTTGTAATATAACGGCACATACGAAGTTACACAACGTATTCAACATAGTAGCCATTTAAAAAACAAAGTAATGCAGCATATAAAATGGTTTATTAAATCCATGAGTTCTCACCCTTAAAGGCTTCAACTGATTAAATCAGTGCTTCCCAAACATTTTCCTTATTACCCAAAACTGCTAATCAGAATGTAGGTAAAATGTAGTAAAACACTTTTAAGTCGATTTAAATGTCCCTACTCTGACTGAGTAAAGGGCTTGTTGTCATTACCAAAAGAAAAAAAAATACTTTTATTCAATTTGGGGTAATTTACCCAGGTTTGGGAAGCATTGGACTAAATGATATACCTGTTCATTTCTACAGTGCTGCAATACATTTTCTTTGATACAGAATACTAGTATTATTTTTCTGTAAAAAAAAAAACACTATTGTGCAAAATATTATTATTTACACAAAAAGTTTGTTTAGGTGCAAGCTTTAAAAATTGATATTGTTAATCACATAAACCAGTGGCCCACAACCTTTTGGGCACTGGGGACCCATTCTAAGGAGAGAGGTTTTTTTCCACGGCCTGGAGAGGGTGTGGTTTCACTTGCTGTCTGCATCCCCCAAATGGGGCTTCGCTTGTTTGTGTGGCCCGGTTTCTGGCACACCACTGCCCAATACCAGTCCATGGCTTGGGAGCTGGGGATCCCTGACAGAAACAATATCAATTTTTAAAGCTCACACATTTACACAAACTTCATTCCCTAAGTTGTCAAAAAAAATGTATTCAACCATACTGTCCAACAACTCAGTCTTTGAAATGAAGTATGTAATAACAATGTCTACTTTTTAAAACACCCACACCCTGTAAAATAAAAAAAAGCTAACCTGAAATTCATGCATATATTCCTTAGTTTCTGGATAATTAGTTAAGGAAAGGAGCTGATTCTAACAGATGTGTTTTTATGGTGGAATCTAGCACTGAGTTGCAAGTGGGAGGCTGTCTTTCCCCAAGAGCAAGAAGCAAATCAGCTTTGAGTCCTTAGTATGCAGGAAAAAGGCCCAGGAGGGATCTTCCCTAAACCTTCATAGGATAAATCTGATAATTATGCAGATGTGCTTTAGTCTGGCAAGATTCCTGTCTATGGGCAAAAAGCAACAAGGAGACTACTGTGAGCAATTCATTGTGTTGTTCTTGGTTCCTTACACTTGACAGTTCTGTAGCAATTATCTTCCTGGAATGTTTACATGGAATGTTAGTCTGTTCCAAAGAAGATGTTACCGAGCCCAGATGAATGAATAAAGTTTTTAATAAAATCTCAGTTCTATCATTCTTACTTGAACAGTATTTTTAGGAAATTCATCTTAGGAAATACCTATTTCACACCATATTATACCCACTGAAATGACTTTAAAAATCTAAAAAGAAACCTTATACTCTAAAATATGTGATGCCTTGAAAGAAGGAACTTTTGCAAATTCTGAATTTTCTTTCCCTTGATATTTTAATTTAAAAGAAATTCTGTATTACAGAATAATCAATAGTTTCTCATTATTTGAACCTAAATTTCACTGCCATATTTTGTTGAACCATTTGAAACGATTTATGCTATTTGTAATAAGATTGTAAGATTCCTGGCTTTTTCAGACTACGGTATAATGTGATTAGAAAAGCTATAATGCAGATTATTATTGGAATGGATAATTCTTTTAAAGTTAAATTAATGAAATATTAATAAGCAAAATTCTTGTTTCTACAACTCATGCTTATTAGTATTATACAAAGCATAAAAAGTGATGTTCAGTCACAATTCAAGCTTCGTATACTATACGTTTGCAATAGAAAAAGTAGAAGTATAGAAATATAATTCACAAATGAGATGTACTTCCTGTTTTGCTATGGCAGGTGTGACGTTAGAAAAAAAAACTTGTACTGGAGAAACATGCATATCCTTCCCATGCATATTTTTTTAAAACTTCCACCAATTCCAAAAACAAGAAGTGAACTATTTTGTTTTTTCAGGCATCACGGGTACCGTATACCCAAAACTATTCTTAATATACTGCCTCATATATGTAGTCTCATGCAAACAACAAATACTTTCACTGAGAACAATTTTTATTAGAGCACACAAGATGTCCTATTTGTTTCACTCATGACTGTATACAGAACACCTTTCTCCAGTTTGGATTATTTGATCTGTGTTTTAATGATGTATCATTGTCTAATTTTCAGAAAAAAAAGTCTCAGGGTTTAAAGGTGTACTAAATAATGACCTAATCTACTTTTCCCGTCTTTCCTGAGAACTTTCCTGAATTAAAGAATATCTATTGTTTTATATTTTTCTAAAGTATAACTTAAATATTTCATATAAAATACAAATTGTTTTAAGAATATACATTTCTTATATTGTATGGATCAAAAACCCAATGTTTTAAGAAACAAAATGTTTGGAGAAGTTACTGCCACATTAAATATTAACATTAATATTTATAACATTACATGATAAATTTAATTAATCTTAAATAATAAATTAATCTAAATTAATATTAATCTGTAATGGTGGCTGCTATATAAGGAAAGAAGGATAATCTTTTTTTAAAAAATTGATAATTGATACATTTACCAGTTATGGATTTATTTGCCAAAATTCATGCTAATATTTTAAAACAAAATATTAAAAAATAATATTAATTAAAATTCAATTCTCTAGTCTTAAGGAATTAAGCTCAAGGGTAACTATTGTTTGCACTCATTTCATATTTATAAGTATGTATTTAAGATTAAATAATTAATAGTAAACTACTTTATAAATGGCAACTAGAAAACATATTGTATCTTAGAAGGAATAGTTGCAACAGTATTTTGTACCTTGTAAGAATTTTCCTTCCATCTAATATAAATACAAAGTTAATTCTTTCAATTGTAATTCATTTAACCAAAAATCTACTATGTAAGATACAACTTCATATTTAAAAGTTCAGGGAAGAAGATATTTAGAATATATAGTCCAATCATATGTACCGAATGAACTCAATATTCATTAGAACTTACACATCCTGTATGTAGATATGCACAGAATTGCAATCTTATTGAACAAATTAATTAAAAAACCATGATGGTACATAAGATAAACTCAAATTATCCAAAATTGCAGAGAAGCTTCCTTTATTTACTAATAGATAATTATTTCATATAGTGAGTTTTCAAATTACGGAATCTTTCATAATCAAGTCTATTAGCTATGAGGCTTTTCTAGCAACTGACAACATTTACTTCAGATGGTTATCGTGTAATACTATAATTTTAATATTTTCAGTGTAAGGTAATATATCTGCCTTATAATGAGTAATGTATGAATCAATTATGAGAAATTTTGTGCTCAGTTATAATCTCTTTTAAATACAATTACTGCTAACAAAATAGGCTGAGTACAATTAAATCTATTTGAAAGCAATACTACTGATGAGGTTTCTTTAGAAATGTTTTCTAGTTTTTCCACAGTTGGTACACCTTTCTCAGTGTTCTTTCCCTAGGCTTTTATCTTTCTTACCATTTCCAATAATTATGAAAACTTTATCTGTCTCCTATTTGTCAAAACAAAATCTATTGTGTTTGTCCCAATGCTGAGTACTTGTGAACAGCTCTAAAGACATATTACAGAACAAACTTCACACAACTGTTCCTCCTCCTTTTATCAGCCTATTTTTGGAATGATAAAAGTAATATTGAGTTAGTTTCATAGCATTCAACAGCTCAATGTTAATCTGGTTTGTATTCTTGTTGAGAAGCTGTAGCCCTCATTTTAAAATTTATACTAAGTTGGCCCTGAGCAATAAAGGCTATCAGATAGTGTGCAGTTACAAAGTCCTTTAAAAGTTTAGTTTGGCTTAGAGAAGGCAGTTGTTTTGCAAATTATCAACTCAGGTAACGTCACATAAAATAGCATGAAGTAAATTCTGCATGTAGGCTAACAATATCAGTGTGTGCAGTACACAGATTACACTTTTGCAACAGGCTAAGGTGGCTATTCCTGGGAGATGAAGCTTTTGAATTAAGTGAGTCAATTACATTTACATTCAGTTTTGGAGATTGCATCGTCTTGACCAAATCACACAGGTACAATTTCCATCATGCACAGGCTGGCAAATGAACCCCACACCTCCTAACAGAAAAAGAGAGTTCTTCAACAGAGTTGCAGGATGCTCAAGCAGAAAGCATCCCCACAGGCTGTGCCTTAAAATCATTTATTTGGGGGGGGAGGGGGGCAAAGTCAAGCTTACCTGTTCCTTGGAAATGGAAGGCAACGAAGGTCTCCTGGACGTTTTCCAGCTGCCATAATAAGCGGCAGAAGTCTCCCCCAAGGACACGCAACTGGATCTCCTCTTGGGTCGGATCACAGGAACTCTGTGCTCGGCGCTGCCGGGCGACTTGGGATGCGAAGCCTGGAGGTGGTGCTGTAATCCCCGACCCGAAGAGGAGCGAGAAGAGAAAAGGCAGCGCTCTCCTCCCAGCAGCGCCCACAAGCATCCCGCCGTCCCGGCGAAGCAGGAGAGCAGCGGCCTAAGGGGCGGAGGCAGAGACCCCAGGCTGGTGAGCGAGACCAGCCACACGAGGCTGGCGAACACCAGAACCAGAAGGCTGCGGCGGAGTTTGAGGCTGCGCTGCCAAAGGGTCAGGCCGGCCACGGCGCCCAGGGTGGCCAACAACCGTCCCGCCAGCATTTGCAATTCGGCCGGTGGCGGGCGAGGGACGCCTTCCTCCGCTTCGGCCTGGCGGGACAGCGGGAGCCACTGCAGCGCCACCGAGTCTCCCGCGTAGCAGCAAAGCGGCAGCGCCAGAAGCCACCAGGGGCCGCCGGGCTCCTCGCGGGCCAGGTAGCAGGTGAGGAAGAAGAAGGCACAGGCGAGACTGAAGAGGGGGCTCAGGCACCGGCACAGCCCCAGCGGCGCCAACAGCCCGCTTGCTTCGGGGCTGCCGGCCGCTGCGCCCGCTTTCTTTTCGCGCTCTCCCCACAGCAAGACGCACGGCAGGAGCGCCAAGGGAGCCGCCGCCGCCGCACCCAGACCCAAGAGCAGAGCCCGGCGAGGAGCGGCTGAGAGAGACGCCCGAAGGTTCGGCTGGTGGCCGCTCGGGGCCAGAGGAGCCGCGCATCCCTTCGCGTAGCCGTTCCGCAGATCGGGCTCCGCAGAGCCGCGAGCCGGAGGCTGCTGGCTTAGAAGTTTGTTGAGCCCGCGGCGGAGAGAAGCGGAGGCAGCGGCTTCTTTCTCGTCCTTCATGCTGATCGGGCGGGAAAGGCTGGAGAAGGAGGAGAAGGGGAGGGGGAGGCGGCGGAGGAGGAGGAGAAGAAGAAGAAGAAGAGAAGAGGAGGAAGAAGAAGAAGCTGGGCTCCGTCAGTTTTTCCTACCTCCCGAGAGAGGGAGAGCCGGTAAAAGCCAGCAAAGACGAGCCTCGCTCCTGAAGCGCAAACGGCGGCGGGATCGCCGAGTGCAGACTCGGAGCATGGTGGGTAAAAGACGGAGGGAGGGAAAACGAGATAGAGAGAAAGAAAGAGAGGTAAAAGTACCCCTTTCCCCCTTCTCTCTCTCTCTCTCTCTCTCTCGCCCGCTCTCACGGAGAGGACACGCTGCCGCCTCCCAGAGTTCCAGGGCAAGCAAGGTCTGCACGCGCTTTTCAAGACACACCCTCCGCTGACGGCACAAATGCAGGAGCTCGCTTCTGCTTTTTTTTTTTTTTTTTGTCCTCGCCGACCGCCCTGCAGGGCAGACGTCATAAAGTAGAAAGGGTAGGCCAGGGGTAGGCAACCTTGGCTCTTTTATGACTCGTGGACTTCAATTCCCAGAATTCCTGAGCCAGCTATGCTGGCTCAGGAATTCTGGGAGTTGAAGTCCACGAGGCATAAAAGAACCAAGGGGAGGCGAGAAAGGCTTCGCAGAAGAATCCGTGTGACTGGTGAGAAATACAGTGGTGCAAATTCAAACGAGTTTGCGGAAGTTTAATTCTTGTGAGGACAGGAATGCAGCCTTAAGGCGCGGGTTGGCCCTTCTACGGTCTGGCGAAGCGGAACTTGCCGTTAAAAAAAAAAACACCCGCTCTGCCTATCGCTACCGATACCCACCCTTTCCGCTCAGTCGTGAGAATTTGCACGAATTCTCTCTCCCCGCTTTGAGCTACGTAACGCCAGGGCTCTCTGTACCTTGATACTGAATTTCAGATCAAACGCGACGATCGGAGGTCGGTAGTACTAAATGGAGTTAAACGGCATAGCGTTTGCCCGGCCGCTTCGATCCTCCGGATTTCTTCGATTAAACAATGCCATCTATTGGGACCCTGGAAGTGTGCCTTCTCTGTGGCAGGCCCTGCCCTCTCGAATAAAGTCCCGCCACTCATATCCATTCTGCTGTTGTTTGGAAAGGCTTTTCACCCAGCCTCTTGGAAAGGAGAAAAGGAGATAGATCCCTCGTTTTTATTTCACTTTCCATTTTTTTTTATCTTTATTATTTATTGATTTAACTGTAATTTCTTTGATTGTTGTGAGCCACCCATTGAGAACTGGGAAGCATACAAATATAATAAATTAATAGACAATCGGTGAACCCCTTGGCTCATTATTACAGAGATAGTTCCTTGTGCTTTTAACAATGGCAGGAGCTTCAATCTTTTTGATTGTACCACTTTTAGGATAGGGCACTCTTCAAGTACCACCTAGCAAGATGTCAAAAAGTTGATGATCAAAAAAAAAAATGGAGGGGCGGGAGGAAAACAGTGATAAAGTACAGGTAGTCCTCGACTTACAACAGTTTGCTTAGTGATTGTTCGAAGTTACAACAGCACTGAAGAAAGTGACTTATGACCATTTTTCACACTTATGACCATTGCAGCATCCCCAGGGTCACGTGATTTACATTCAGATGCTTGGCAACTGATTCATATTTATGAAGGTCACAGTGTCCCCTTTTGCAACCTTTTGACAAGCAAAGTCAATGCCGGGGGGTGGGTGAGGTGGCCAGCTCAATGTCGCTCAGATCGGGGGGGACACCTGTGGGGGAGCAGGCTGTGGGAGGGATCCAGGGGTCTCCAGTGGAGGGCGGTGGGACTGGGGTGGACGCCAGGGCATGATCCACTGAAGGAGCTTTGCCGTCCCTCTTGGGCCATGTGGGGATTCCCAGATGGTGGGGCAGGGTGCCTGGAGTCCTGGGCATTGGAGGGCAAAGTTTCCAGCCCGGCCCTCGAGCTCCCAGGGCACAGCCCAACCCAGTCCAGCCCCACTTGCCTCGAGGCTGCTGCTGCTGCTGTGCTCATTCTCCTTGGCCAGGTTGCTTATGGTAGGTACAGGAGGGCAAAGTGTGTGGGTCAGAAGGAGGCCCACTCCCTCTCCTTGTGAGGAGACCCAGTTTTGTAACCAAAGCATCCTCAGTAATAGGATGGGAGACCACCAGGAGAGGCCAGGAGGAGAGGGCAGGGGATGGGCAGCAGGGCTGCTAGTGGCCAAGTGCTAAGGCAGGGCTTCTCTCAGACCCTCCCTCCCTCTCATTTTAATCTCCCTCCTTCCTTCCTTCCTCCCTCCGTCCCTTCCTGCTTGCCTCCCTGTTTCTCATTCCCATCTCCTTCCTTCCTCCCTCCCTTCATGCCAAGCCTCCAGCCAATGGTGCCTTTCTTCATTCCTTATGGAGGGTGACGCCTCCCCAGCTGTTTCTTGCCTGTTTTTCGCTGCCACCTGTGTGCGTGCCCAGCACGGATGGCTGCCATAAAATTGTAGATCGACTCCCGGCCAGCCTGTTTGATCCCCTCTTCTCTCCTCCCACCTCCTCCTCCTTTTCCCTTTGGTGCAGCTCCAGCTAAGTCCTCCTTCCAAGGCTGCATCTTTTTTCTCTCTCCCTCTCGTGCCAAAGCTGCCTCCTTTTATAGCCTCTCCTGTCTCCGCCCCTCCCTCCTTTCTCTTCTGGGTGTGCTGGAAGTGCCAATCCTGGGGCCTTTGTCTCGCCCCAGTAGCCCTGCAGCTCCCGGGGACTCTCTCAGGGCAAGTCCTGCGCTGCACGCTTTGACTCGTTCCCTCCCCCTGCTACGCTAGGCTAGGCAGGATTGCGTACCACCTGCCAGATGCCAGTGTACCACAGGTTGAAAAGCCCTGTTCTAATGCACTGGTTAAAGTTCTTAACAATTCAGGGAGATATTCATAGATGTTATCTGCCTTAAAAATAATCCATTTTGAACTATTCAGTACAGTACAGTTCAGTATGTACAGTCAAATATGACCACACGACATATTTTATGACATTTTGTATTACGTTATAATATATTTTCTAAAGTTTGCTTAATTTCAATTCCATGGGAGTCATGGCCTCTGGATTTCGGACACATTCTGTAAGTTAGCCCATTTGAAGTACCTTGTTGAAAAGGATTTGCTCTATGATGCATCATTTTGTCCAGTTAAAGTTACAGACATGACAGCTATAATAGTAGACTAGACCAGTGGTTCTTAACCTTTTTGAATGAATCGCCCCCTTGAGCCAATGAGGAAGTTGTCATCGCCCCCCCTCCCCCAACATAACCTCTCAATCACAACATAGGAAATAATTCTTCAATTTATGCAAACCCTTTTTTTGTTTTCTTTAAAATTGTCATCAGGACATATCGATGCAAATAATTTATTTCCAGTCTTTTTCCCATATCTCCCATATTCTGGCCAATGGCGTGCCACTGTATGGATAGACGCTGCTGCACAACACGCATGAAGATAAGTGATGCGTCTTCACATATATATATGGCATTCTGTACTGAAGCTAGCTGGAGGAACATTTGAAAACACAATTCAATCCACTAATAGTGAGCGATCTGATGTTTTTGTAATACAGATATACAGCGATTAACTGTATGAAAAAGTCTCAAGTGTCCCCAAAACTTCTCACTCCATCGCCCCATATCGCCCCCTTTTCGTTCCTTCGCCCCGCCGCCCCTTTTTGTTCCATCGCCCCCCCTGAAAAATGAAATCACCCCTTGGGGGGGCAATATCGCCCAGGTTAAGAACCACTGCACTAGACAACCAATGACCCATTATAGCCACAGCACTTAGACTTATATACCACTTCATAGTGCTTTAGAGCCCTCTCTAAGCGGCTTACAGAGTCAGCATATTGCCCCCAACAATTTGGATCCTCATTTTACTGACCTATTATGATTTCCTTTCAGAAATATTTCCTCTCCAGATTTCTCAAAGCCTTGAACAATGAAAGAACTTCTAATGTACTGCCTTTACTGAAAAAGTTGGAACACATTCAGGGATATACAATGGATCTTGCCTTGAAAACAGTCCATGCTGAATTGTATAGCATAATCAAGTAGCAGGATAGGAAACATTTTATGACATCCTGTATTATGTCATAAAATGTTTTATGATGATTTTAAAATGTTTTATAAAATTTGCCAAATTTCAATTCCACAAAAATTATAGGTTCCAGAGTTTGGATGCATTCTGTCAGTTAACCCAAAGGTCCCCAACCTTTTGGGCACCAGGGACCAGTTCCGTGGAGAAAGGTTTTTCTGTGGACTGGAGAGTGCGTGGTTTTGTATGCTGCCTGCATCCCACAGGTGGGGCTTTGCTTGTGCGGACCAGTTGCTGGCATGCCACGGACTGGTACCGGTCCACGGACCAGAGGTTGAGGACCCCCAAGTTAACCTATTTGGGATACATTTTAGTTTAAAAATTGTTGCCCTATAATGCAGTGATTCTCAACCTTTCTAATGCCGTGACCCCATGATACAGTTCCCCATGTTGTGGTGACCCCCAGGTGGGTGTGGCCACCAATAAGAGGGAGTAGGACAGCTAGGGAAAAGGGAAAAAAATGGCGGACAGCATGGTTTGGTGACCCCCGTGAAATGGTCATTCAACCCCAAATGGGGTCCTGACCCATAGGTTGAGAACCACTGCTATAATGGATTGTTCATCCAGTTTTAAAAAAAATAGAAATAGGAGTTTTAATAGTTTGGAGATGTAGCTGTCTTGATAGTAACCTATGTTGAACCGTATAGCACAGTAAAACTTCAGGAGTTGACCACAGGAAATGTTTTATGACATTTTATCACAAAATGCTTTATGATCATTTTATGTCATAAAATGTTTTATAAGATTTGCCAAAATTTCAGTTCCGCAGGAGTCATGGGCCCAGGATTTTAGATACATTCTGCAAGTTAACTCATTTGAGATACCTTTGTTGCAGAGGTTTTGCCCTGTGATGCATTGTTTCACCAAGTTAAAGGTTATAGACAGAAGAGTTTTACCAGTATAGAATTACTAAAACAGATAAAATTAAATTAATATTAATAAACCATCATAGCTAATATCAGCCAGAAGACAGAAAAACTCAAAGAAGTAGTGCAAAATCAGAAAATGTGGAGACACCTGGCCCATAGAATCGCCAAGAGTCGGACATGATTGAATGGATATCATCATCGTCATCAATGTTAATAAAATTGTAAAATTAATAAAAATAGTTATGGCTGGAACATTTATCACATTTGCATTAACAGTCCCTGCATTTTCACTGAAGCCACAGAGAATTTGGCTATTGTGTGGGTATTAACATAGTAGAAATTGACATGGTATCCTTCAGTCCTTCCTGGGAGAACACATTACCCCTACACAGAGCGATATAACAATTATAGTGGAACAGCACATATTGGATAGTTTCTATGTCTTCAGAATCACAAAGACAGGTACATTCTATTAATGGGGTTTTGGTAAATTGGCTGTCATGGTTCCGATAGATGAAACCGTTTAAAGAACTTCAAGGCAAGAATTCTTCCTTAAAGAACATTTTATTAGGAAACAAAATATCGGCACTTACATAGTTGAACCCAAAACTGAGATTCCCTCCTCCTAGATACAAAGTAACTAGTTGCAATTTTCACCCCACACACGCTGTCATAAATCGCATTCCCCAATTAACACAAGCTGCGGGCTTTTCTCACCAGCTTCTCAGCCCACCAATTCCTTATCAGACCATGTCCTTGAGTTCCCACACTTCTACATCATTATGGCTAGCTAAACCCTCAAGCATTTACCCCATACCCCCTTCTACATCTGAACTCTAAAAGAATAGAAAAGACACGTTAGAAGTAAAAGTAAAAATGGCTGCTGATCCTCAGTTGTCAGAGCAACGACATCCATTGTCACAGCGTTGACATCGGCCTTGTAATAGTTCCAAAGTTGATAGCAGTGTTCCAATATCTCAGGGATTGGCACAAAGAAGAGGAAGTCAAGCTATTCTCCAAAGCACCTGAAGGCAGGACAAGAAGCAATAGTTGGAAACTAATCAAGGAGAGAAGCAACCTAGAACTAAGGAGAAATTTCCTGACAGTTGGAACAATTAATCAGTGGAACAACCTGCCTCCAGAAGTTGTGAATGCTCCAACACTGCAAGTTTTAAAGAAGAGATTGAACAACCATTTGTTTCCTGCCTGAGCAGGGGGTTGGACCAGAAGACCTCCAAGGTCCCTTCCAATTCTGTTATTCTATTCTATTCTATTCTATTCTATGCTATTCTATTCTATTCGCTACGATACTCATTGTTTGGCTCTGAAGAAATCCTTCCTCAACTTGGGAAAGGTCAGCATATTTAGATAATTTGCAGGTTGTCAGAAGCCTTTTACTAATAGGGTTCTGATATTTTGGGAAAAGGTACTAGCTAAAGTATGATCCTCAATGTTTTGTCTTTTTTGCCTGGTTAAGGTCAAAAGCTAAGAGTGAATCTGTGGTCAGCTCATAGCCCCCCAGTTTCTGGTCTACTGTGATAATCATGGTGATGGGTGCTTATCCAAAAATATTAGCATAACCAGGCCATTAGGAAAGGCTCTAATCTTAATCCAATTTATCAAGACTAAATGTCATACTCTTGGTACTAATTTGTTCACTCCCATTTCAAGACTGAGGTCACTAGAGATGTCCCTTGGGGCCGCAAGTATGGACCTTAAAATTTTTGTTTGTATAAAGTTGACTGCATTTTTTTAAAAATAAAGTGCTACCTGGGCTCTGTATAAAGGTTGAGTGAGTTGCTGCCGTTTCTTTCTTTCCTTTGAAGTAGAAGAACCTCTTGATGGAATGGAATAGAATGATTCTTTGTTGACAACTTTAAGGCTCTTTTGAATAATATATTTCTGACAGGCTTTCCAACCCCCTAAGCATGGAAGGCCACTCCCAGATATTTGAACACGAGTACCTGTTTTTTCCCTATTTATTATCTGATTTGAGTTATGGTTTTTTTTTTATGGTAATGACGCTAAGTTTATACTCTTTGGCCTCTTTATTTCCTTATAAGGCATTGCAAATAGGACAGGTAGTCTTATCAACCAAGAACTGATACAAGAAGGGTGTGCTTGCGGAGAAGATGGATAGAATATGTTCAGAAGAAATATGGAACTACAAAGTTTCATTTATTTTATGAATAATAGATTTGTTTATAAAATTATGATGTTAAAGTTTGAAGAGAGTTAAGGGTTAGTATGATTTTGGTTATTGTATAATTAGTAAACTTAAATAGATTATGTTTAATATGTTTGTATAACCCTGTACTTGGCTCTGGGAAGTCGGGGTGGGGAGAGGGGTGGGGGGATGGGTTGAAGGTTAAATAGCTCAGATAAATAGAAATAGTTTCATTGTATATGTTATGTTTTATTTTGGAGAAAGGAATTGCTCGGGCATTTCTCCTGGACTGCATCCGGAATGAGAAGATAGGAGGAAGGGGAGATGTAAGTAGGAAGGTTGAGGAGGAGGAGAGGGGGAGAGTGAGGAAGAAGAGGGAAAGAGGGAAGTGAGAGAAGAGGTTAGAGGGTGGATGCAGTTTGGGGGGAAATGGGTGAGCAATACCGAAAGTTATGTGCATAAATTTATTTTACTCTTTATCTGAAGTATTTTTTATGATGTAATGTAAAATTGAAAATAAAAAAAAATTACAAAAAAAAAAAAAAAAAGAAGGGTGTGCTCGCATGGCACACATTTCCTGGGACTTCCCAAGGGGTTAAAAGCAACTCTGAAAACCAAAGCAGTGAGAATAAAGAGCAAAGATCATTGCCTTTCCTGAGCTACAGAGATTCTGCAGCAGCAAAAATAGCTTTATTTACATGCCATGCAGGAAGTTAGAATTTGATGCTCTCGTATGCATCACTTTACACTTACTTAAACAGAAGCATACTTGTCATTTGGCTGACCATTTTAAAGAGACCCTTTAAATTGAAAGTTGACAGTTTATATCTGTTTTTAACCAGTGAATAATCCCTAGTCAAGTTCATAATCCTGTGGTTCAAAGATGGTGTCACATTTTGACTGAGCCTGCTAAGAGGGCAATAATTTCACATCTGAGTTAAGGGTTCTCAGGTACAGCCATCAGAATCAAATTATTTAATTACTGTGAAGACTCTAAAGATGCCCTAAAGTCTGTGAGAAAGTCAAATATCTGCCTTACATCTTTTACAATAAAGGGATACATAAAATAGGCAGTTTCTCTTGAGTCATTATATTTAAGCATCCCTTCCTTTGCCATCTAATGACTCAACTGATTCCATGTATGTATGTATGTATGCATTATACAGTACATTCCTCAGGTTTGGGAGGGGTTTGCAATTCTTATCACCTTTTCCTTTTTCTGTAAGACTTATTGTTCTCATTTAGACAGATTCTCTATTTCTGAAACAAAGATTATTTTTGTATAGCTTCCTGAACACTCAAGGGAAACCATGCTGTCCAGATCTTAGACTTGTTTGATTCTTTGTTACATTATGAAACTACAGTAACTACATTTGTGATTTATTATGGGATTAATCTATCCCACAAAACTAGGAGAACTCCAGGTGGCTTTCAGAATTTACACATAAACACAATGGAGATCAGATTGTTAGTCAAAATAATAATCCAAATCAGTTTCAATATAGTTCTAAAAGTAGTACAGATGGGTTACATAATAGCTGAAGGGTAAATTTTTAAAAAGTGTACTTTTCTAGTCATAAAAGGGTGATTTAGTTTTGTATGAAATGATTTATAGCTCCGTGATTGTTTATCATCAATAAATTCCAATAAAAGTGCCATGAGTTGTTCAGGGCTCGTCCTTTCATTCCCTACAATTGTGCAGAGCGTAATTTATTTTTCTAATGAATAAACTATTATAATATACTTTTAATCTATTTCAATAATTTAATTCATAAAACCAGACAGCAATTTAGAAATGATTTTTAAAGTGATTTTTCTCTGTCAGAATAATATGACTGTCCCCTCATTCATAGTATTCTAGAACAGGGGTCTTCAAACTTGGCCCTTTTATGACTTGTGGAGTTCAACTCCCAGAATTCCTCAGCCAGGCATGCTGGCTAAGGAATTTTGGGAGCTGAAGTCCACAAGTCATAAAAGGGCCAAGTTTGAAGACCCCTGTTCTAGAATGACAGGACTATTTGGAATACAGGTGATCCTCAGCTTAGAACAGCGGTTCTCAACCTTTTTATACGGCGACCCCCGGTCACACGGACGTGCCGTGCATGTGCGGCGTTGCCCCCATGCGCGGCGGCGCCCCGAGGGGGAAAAATGGCAGATCGCGTTGTTTGGCGACCCCCGTAAAATGGTCATTCGACCCCAAATGGGGTCGCGACCCATAGGTTGAGAACCGCTGGCTTAGAACCACAATTGCAACCGAAGCTTCCATTGCTAAGTGAGTGCACTTGATGTTATAAGCTTTATTGCTGTGGCCATTAAGTGAAATACACAAATATGCATGAAAAGGGGAAAAAAATTGAATCCAGAAAAGTTAAGTAGGGTCCAGCAATTCTGCTAAACTTTTCAGGCAATCGCAGAACATTTTATTTGATTTGGATGGTGCAAAAGCAATTCTGGATGGGTTAAGCAACAAAAAACTGTTGCTCCTTCTTGCCCTTCCCTAGATGCTGGGATGACATATCCCATAGGTCCACCTGCCTCCGTAATATTCTGTCCTCACTCATATCTGTCCAGAATAATTGGTGTTTTGTGTTGTGCCCAGAAGAAAACACCAGAAATAGGTATATTGTGCACAGTAGGCTTTAAACAGTTTGGTACATGCATATCCCTAGTTTGAACCAGGAATAGAATTATGTGTTCACAAAAAGCTAATTGGTAGAGGTTTCCTTTCTCTATGCTGTAATGAATAAAAGAAAATATTTAAAAGTTGGAAGAAGGAGAGGATGAAAAGAATAGACACATCTTGGTAACAAGAATATGTTTTTAAGCAGAGCAGGGCTTTAGCAACCATTTTAAAAGTCAAACATTCAAGACCAACATGTAAAGAACAATATTTACATTTTGATCTTTGTAAAGGTCAGGTATTCCATTACAGAGTTCCTTAATGAAAAGAGCACAGGAAACAAAATTAAGAATGAAAGCAACCCTTTGTTTTAGCAGCTAGGCCATCTGCTGTTCTTCCTTGGGCTGGTGTTGGTACAAAGAACATAGCTTGGGTGTTTGTTGCTTGACAACTAAAGGAAAATGGTTGGATAAACACGGACTTGCAAACAAGATATAAAAGAAAATATTTGCTGAACAAGACTGAAAGAGCATATAGCCTAAATAAAGGCATCATGAAAATAGTAGCTTAAATAAAAATAAAGGCAGTTATCCCTTGTAGTAGAAAATATGGAATAACAAGAAGAAAATAGCAATCCTAGTTTTTCAAGATAATTCCGAGCTACTTTTTGTTAAAGTCAAATCTCTGTTTCAATCTCTTATTTTTGCTGGCAGTAAAGAGTGCAACAAAATCATTTCCTTCACAAAAATTCCTCTTTCCACTGTTTAGGGAAATAGCTCTGAGCAATTAGGTTAAATGGCTTGTGGGAAAAGATAAGGAAGAATATTGTTAAAGATGTGGGAATTCTAGAAGCTGATATGGAATAGGAATATGCAGAATCCACCCAATCTGGTCTAGTGTGCTTTGGAGATAAGGCAATCTTACTTTATGTCTGCATCCCAGAGTGAGATGCAGAAAAACAAAAGTCCTTCCACAATTTAATATAAAAATAACAGGTGGCATATTGTTTTTTTTTACCAGAAAGAAGTTGAAGTCACAGTTTCTAATATCTAAGCTCAGCATAGCGTGGTGATTACAGTACTTGCCTGGCATGTAGTATATTGCTGTTTTGAAAGCCAGCAGAAATTAATAAAACAAACAGAACTATTTCTCACTTAATATTGGTAATTAGGATCAGAAATTCCATCATTAAGTGATATTGGCATAAAGCATGATATCACGTGACCATACCACATTGTTTTAGACCAGTCTTCAGTTACTACTGTTAAGCAAAGCACCATGGATTTGTTAAGCGAGGACTTTACCCAGTGGAGGGGATTCAGCCAGTTTGCACCACTTTGGCAGAACTAGTAGCTAATTTTTTGTTGCCCAGGGCCAGAATGGACTTTCGGAAGTGGCATCCACACAGAGAACCGGTTGTTCACATATTTGAATCCTTGCACTGACTTCACCTGATTGCAAGTTTCAACTTGCAGGCTTCCCCACTGATTTTGTTTGTGGGAAGTCAGCAAAGAAGGTCACAAATCATAATTATGTGACCAGGGGATGCTGCAACCGTCAGAAATCTGGGCTGCTCAACAGTTCCTAGACTGAAATCACATGGCCACAGGGTGTTGCAACATCCAGAACTTCAAGGATTGGTCATAAGTACCATCATTCAGACGACTGCAACTTCAAGTGCTGAACAAGTAATCATTAAATGAGGACTTGTATGTACAGGCAGTGGTGGGATTCAGATATGTGAACAACCGGTTCTCTGTGTGGATGCCGGTTCCAGAAGTCCATTCTGGGCCTGGGCAACAAAAAAATTAGCTACCAGTTCTGCCGAAGTGGTGTGAACCTGCTGAATCCCACCACTGTGTACAGGTAGCCCTGACTTGTCAATTGCCCTCCCCATTTGAACTTACTGGAAGTTCAATGAAAAAAGTAACTTTATGAGGGTCCCCCCCCACTAACAATAATTGCAGCGTCTCTGCAGTTACATGACCAAGATGTCTTTGCAGCTGCAACCATTTACAACCATGACAATGTCCTGTGGTCACATGATCATCATTTGCACCCTTCACAGCTAACTTCCAACAAGCCAAGACAATGGACGGTTGCCAGTACAAACTAGGCAAAAAAAATAAAAATAAAAATCAATCCACTGCAACATGAAGGCTATTAAGATTAGGAACTCTAATCTACTATATGTGATCCGGTGCAACTGATAGATGTTTTCTGAGGTCTCAGGCTATGCCTCTAGGCTTTGAAAGAATTTTGGTCCAAAGTTATCCAACCTGCTTCTGTGCCAAAGTGAAGGTTTTTTTTTGCTCCTAGAGGGAAATAACTATTAACTACTTTACATATAGATATATATGTGTGTATGTCTCTGAAGAAGTGATGGAAGAATGCATTTTTGCATTTATGTTTTAAAGAATGGGAAAGGAGGTAGTTTCAAGGAATGGAAAATAGTAATTTAAAAAGTGCAAGGTTTCAAATCAGCAACAGTCTATATGCCAGGCAATTGTAAAGCATTGCCCTGTTGTAGTGCCATTATAAAGTTTGCTTTAAAGAATTTTGCAACTGTCTGTTCTGCCTGCATGGATGTGTACTGCAATACTTTAATGTTGTATAAAAATCATTTAACTTCGGAGAGATACATACAGGCAAAAAGTATTCATGCTCAGTAATCCCCACCCAGAGAGAGCAGTATCAGGAAAAATTTTCAGGGGGAGGGTATGCCAGCCTGCTGCCCAGACTGAATACCTTACATTTTTTTTTTCAACGTTAGCAACTTTAAGATGTGTGGATTTCAACTCTCAGAATTGCTGGGGAATTCTGGGAGTTGAAGTCCACACATCTTAAAACTACAGAGATTGAGAAATACACACAAACACACAAAGGAGTAGCTCAAGGGCTCAGTACAGATATGTTCGGAGAGAGAAAAGAATTAGACCTATTAGAAGTCTGCACTTAAGCATTAGCAAGCAGTTCTGCAACAACAGATGAAAGGGAACTGGCCAAAAAGATAATGCAAAACAACAATGGGATAAATTTCATCAGAAGTCAATCCGAGGCAAAAAACAGTAACTGTAAGTCATGTAACAAGTCCAAGTGTGAGAAATCATCAACTTTTTCATAACTTGAACTACGTACGATTTTAGTGGGGGTTTTTTACACCTTGTAATATAAAATGATAGTTTTATATTTCACACGCTAGTGAAGTTATGCTTAAAATCCTACAAGCTAGACTCCAGCAGTATGTGGATCGAGAACTACCAGAAGTACAGGCAGGATTTCGAAGAGGCAGAGGAACTAGAGATCAAATTGCCAACATACGCTGGATCATGGAGAAAGCTAGGGAGTTCCAGAAAAACATCTACTTCTGCTTCATTGACTATGCAAAAGCCTTTGATTGTGTGGATCACAACAAATTGTGGCAAGTTCTTAAAGAGATGGGAGTACCAGACCATCTCATCTGTCTCTTGAGAAACTTATATGCGGGTCAAGAAGCAACAGTGAGAACTGGACACGGAACCACTGATTGGTTCAAAATTGGAAAAGGAGTCCGGCAAGGCTGTATACTGTCGCCCTGCCTATTTAACTTATATGCAGAGCACATCATGAGAAAGGCAGGGCTAGATGAATCAAAAGTTGGAATTAAGATTGCCGGGAGAAATATCAACAACCTAAGATATGCAGATGATACCACTCTAATGGCAGAAAGTGAAGAGGAACTAAAGAGCCTCTTGATGCGGGTGAAGAAGGAGAGTGCAAAAGTTGGCTTGAAACTCAACATTAGAAAACCAAAATCATGGCATCCGGCCCTCTCAATTCCTGGCAAATAGATGGGGAAGAAATGGAGGTAGTGACAGATTTTATTTTTCTGGGCTCCAAGATCACCTCAGATGGGGACTGCAGCCAAGAAATTAAAAGACGCTTGCTCCTGGGGAGGAAAGCTATGGCAAATCTAGACAGCATACTAAAAAGCAGAGACATCACCCTGCCAACAAAAGTGCGTATAGTCCAGGCCATGGTTTTCCCAGTTGCAATGTATGGCTGTGAAAGTTGGACCATAAGAAAGGCTGAGCGCAAAAGAATTGAGGCCTTTGAACTATGGTGCTGGAGAAGACTCCTGCGAGTCCTTGGACTGCAAGGCGTTCAAACCGGTCAGTCCTAGAAGAGATCAACCCCGACTGCTCTTTAGAAGGCCAGATCCTGAAGTTGAAACTCAAATACTTTGGCCACCTAATGAGAAGGAAGGACTCACTGGAGAAGGGCCTAATGCTGGGAAAGATTGAGGGCAATAGAAGAAGGGGACGACAGAGAATGAGATGGCTGGATGGAGTCACTGAAGCAGTAGGTGTGAACTTAAATGGACTCCAGAAGATGGTAGAGGGCAGGAAGACCTGGAAGAACGTTGTCCATGGGGTCGCGATGGGTCAGACACGACTTCGCAATTAACAACAAAATATAAAATGCAAACTAATCCACCCTCAGCGCTTACCTCTTTCATCTTTCCCTACACGGCGAAATGACTACCCTTATGTACTACATAAGAGATACTACAACCTATACCACACTATAAACCAGGGGTCTTCAAAGTTGGCCCTTTTATGACTTGTGGACTTCAACTCCTAGAATTCCTCAGCCACCACGCCCTGCTATAAACCGAATGAAGAGACGCCTCTTCGGTCCACTCTCCCCGTTCCAATCTTCCACAGCTCTCATCTCGGCCCGTTTCCTCAAGGACCCAACGCGCATGTGCATTCAAGTTCGGCCACGCCCAACTACGATTTCTGAAGGGGGAGGCGGCTTAAGCGTGTTTGGGATCGGGAAGCTCGGCAATCGGCTGCTCTGCCTTGGCGGAAAAGGAAGGAAGCATCCCGGTCTAAACCTATCGCTTGCCGAGGTCGCCATCGCTTTCTATCATCTTTTCTGGTCAAGCGCCGGCGCTGCTGTCCGAACGCTGCCGACATGGTGAGAGGCGAAGCACCGGGGTGGGCGGCGGGGTGCGGAGAAGTTTGGGCGAGCGCGGAGGCCGGGGAGGGAGAGGCCGCGCTTTCGTTCTCCGGGGCGATAGATGTGACTCAGCACTTGCCGGCGGTGGCAACTTTGCGGCCCAGATTGCCTTGTTTTTAATTGCCATCCCCCCCCCCCCATTTTGTAAACCTTATACTCACTAGGAGTGGTCTGCATGTCTCCGGTGCTTGGAGTTTCCTGCTTCGTGTGGTTCAGTCCTTCCCCTCCTCCTCCATTTTTTGCGTTCTCATCGGCCCTTCTCGTGGGCAGCCCAGCAGACTTTTCTACTGAAACAAGCATTCATTTCCTTTTTTGTTTCATTAATGTATCTTTAATAAATTGAGACTCTTGAGTCACTGGGAAAGACTTTGTAAATAGTTGTGCTTTCGCACTATATTCAAACCAATGCAAAATAGGGTATGCTTTATTCTTGTATACGTTTCTTTAAAGTCAGGACCCCGCTAAAGGAAGAGACTCCCAATCCCAATTTTCTCCCTATATACCTCTATTGTTGTACCTCCTAACACGATCGCCCCACTTCGTACATGTATGAATCAACATTTCTGTTTTCCAGCCTTTTGCTGGATTTGGTTGCAGAGAGGAGCGAAGGAGATGACCGGATCTATAGTTTTACATGTCTAGTTATACACCCTATGCCTTGAAGAGTCCTTGTGATATCACAAAATAAAATCGGCCACAAAAAGCCAGTCTAGCACAGCAGATAAACGCGTGTCAACGAATATAAGAGCAGTATAGTTACACGTTGTAGATAGTATGCTACAGAGATACATCTTAATAGCAGTATAGTTACACGTTCTATATAGTATGCTACAGAGATACATCTTAATAAAGTCTGTTGCATTAAAAACAATTGTTGAGTGGATTTTTCTCAATTTCAAAAGGGGATATAACTTTAAAGTACATTTTAATTTCTCGCCTTGCAGTCCTACAAATAATCAGAAGTAAATTTCATTTGCCTAAACCTGAATAGGTATAGGATATTGACATAGTAATTAAAAAAACATTTTTCTTTTCTTTCTTTCTTTCTTTCTGATCCCTGTTTCATCATTGAAACTGAAAGCAAAACTGTTTCTACCTAGTTAGATTATTACAGTTTTGGTTTAGAGATCTCCACATGAAAATTGGAAATGTGGGCTTATTTCTAATCATATTTTTTTAAATGAACTGCTGGATATTAGTTTAGCAAACATTTCCATGTTTGCCTTGATTTATAACACAGTGACTTGGTTAGATGTCCACATTGTAAATGTTCATTTACTATTTCCTTCTTGATGCTTTTTTCAACCCAACTTTTATTTTTCTTTGTCAAGCTTTGTCCCCTGAATTTCTTAATAAAGTTTAATAAGTATGAGTGGCATACTTGCATGTATTGAACAAACCAAAAATACTATTTGGTAAGGATGTGCAATTTCCCCAAATTGGGAAGGTTGTTTGAATTTGATTTAACATACATGCTATATTAATTGGTAATATTGTAAAGAAGGTGTGCTTTTTTGTGATATTGCAGGGTGCTGCCAATAGGTATGAGAATTTTCACATTGAATCTGAAGAATCTTTCCTGCTTTGAACCTGCATATTGCACACCTCTACAATTTTGCTCAATCCTGTCTTGAAAAGAAAATTAGTTATTAAATGTCATACCAAAGTTCTATTTCCATAAACTTTTTTCAGTTACAGAAATGATCATTCATAGTGCAGATGAGATTTTGTTTTATTTTTTCTTATTTTAATGGCAATCATATTAATCAATTTCTTTTGTTCACTTTAGTTTCGCAATCAGTATGATAATGATGTCACTGTATGGAGTCCCCAGGTATCATTTTTGTCTTTCTATTCTTTTTTGTATATTTCCTTTTCTCATCAGTTGAATAATAAAAGGATTTAAATCCTTTGAAATTTTTTAGTTTCAAAGCAAGATTTAAAACTTACTTTGAAAGCAAAAGTAATAAGAAATTTGTATATGTGAAATATGTTCATTATAGTAACAACCTGCATGAGTGATTTATACATAAATACCTTTCTCAACTGGATTTTCTATGGTAATACTATAGGAAATGCAGCTTAGCCTACTTGTTACTTGTGTGATGCTAGGCCCAGGAGTATGAGACAACTGAGTCAATGAATAATAAGATAATCATTATAGTCTGCTGTTTCCTAATTTCAAGGACAATAAGGGATATCTGCATAGATTAGAATTTGACAACCTAGAATAGTTGTAGCCTTAGAGGGAATCTAAGTGTAAGAATGCTATACTCACATTCTTTTTTATAAAGTTATAACTAAAATTATGTCAGATTGAGCTAGATTTATGAAAAAGATGGTTTGTTGATTAAACCAGTGACCCCCCAACCTTTTTGATGCCAGGGACCGGTTTTGGGGGAAACAATTTTTCCACAGACCAGTAGTGAGGTATATGTTTCACACGCTACCTATATCCTGCACGTGCTCAGATGATGCTTCACTTGTTTGCATGGCCTGGTTCCTAAAAGGCCATGGCCTGGTACCGGTCCGTGGACCAGGGGTTGGGGAGCCCTGGATTAAACCATACTTGGCAATGCGCACATAACATTCAAATCCAAACAAACCATATTATGACTAAGCATGATGTAGAAACCAAAACATTAATTCTATTCCCTGTTCCCTGCTTTCATCTGAATACGTTCTGGAAAACTCAAAAGCTCTACCTGTACTGTGTCATTTTTTATTGGTCTGATAAAGATGTTTGCCGTACTATGGAATTTAGAGGGCATGCTATGCACAGAAATTATTACTAATTTGTGCTCAAATGTCCTGATTTAATGCAATTGTGATAAACATAATGTTTAGTCTTAAAACTATCATGGAATATTTTTATTCACTAAAGATAATGTTAAGTAATGTTTGAAGGAAGCAACCATTGCAATGAAAGAAGCAAGAATAACAAAGTGTTAATTAGTTGTGACTCATTGGGTAATTTGGAACCAGCATCTCTCTCTCTGCCCAGCCTGCCTCAGGGGATTATTGTGGATGAAAGTAGGACAACGAAGCCACACACATACACACAAGCGTATGTACATATATGCTGTGAGTTCCTGAATGAAAGGCATTCATTATTCCCTTATTATTCCAGGAGGCTCATCTCATCTGCACTATCAGCATGTTCATAAGGCTATCTTTTGTTTTTTAGGGTCGAATTCATCAAATAGAATATGCAATGGAGGCTGTCAAACAAGGATCTGCAACTGTGGGGCTAAAATCAAAATCCCATGCTGTTTTAGTTGCCTTAAAGGTAAACTCAAGAGGAAAGCAAGTTTGGTTTTTTTTTAAAAGCATATGTGATACATAAAACATTATACCGTATATGCTGGCGTATTAGGCGACCTGGCGTATAAAACGACCCCCATCTTTATAGCCGGGCCGCATTCCTAGAACGTCATCTTATATGCCGGAAACTACCAGTATTTCCGGCGTATAAGATGACTCGGCGTATAAGACGACCCCCGTCTTTGGCGCCGATTTCAGCGCTCGCGGAAGTCGTCTTATACGCTGGCATTTACGGTAATAGTTACAATCTTAAAGTAGATTGTAGATTTTTTGAAATCTAGAAAATGTACCTGTTGGCCAAGAAAAAAAATTGTTGTAATCACTTTTGGTTTGTAGGGGTAAGAGCTGAGAAAGTCTGTTCTAAATAATTACAGTATTCAGCTTGAAATTACAATCATATTTTAATTATTGTACTTCTTGTTTACCTAGTACCAGGTGGGGAGATAAGTGGGACATAAATTATTATAAATAAAGTTTGGAAACATGAAATGCTACACACAAGAACATTTTTAGAATAAAATGATAGGAAAGCGCCAAGCAATTTTGTGGGGCCAGTGAAAGATCATGTGGCAAAAACATCAGGTATATTATTTGATTGTAAATGCAGTCAGAGAGCATTACAAATTTTTATTAACAGTAAGGCTATATGTGCTATAAATAATAGATAATGGTTCCATTTCCAGCAGTAAAGACCACATAGTTTTTCTTGGAGAGAAAAACAATGGAGGGATATTACTGCAGAGGCTATTTTTGGGTTCTCAATAGGTGCATCCTTACTAGGCCTGGTATGTAGGACAGGAGATTAGGGGTGGAGTTACAAGTGTTAGCTTATTGAGCAAAGACAGACACAATACTTGCACTATTAGGAATATACTAAATTTATTGATTAGGGAGCAGAAAATTAAGTTTTCTAGAATGTGTCATTGCATTCTAGACCAGGGGTGGCAAACTGCCGGCCTGCGGGCCAGTTTCATCATACCAAAGCCGCGCCCACCCCTTTGCCGGCACTGCAAAAAGAGTCGCGATGCGTCGCAACACATCATGTGACATGGCGAGTTTGATACCCATGTTCTAGACAGTGTCAAATTTCCTTCCAAATTACATTATACAGAGATGGTTTGCAGGTTTTTGGAAGTAAATGAGAAGCCATTTAAGTCGTCATAAAATAATTGCATTAAGCTTCTTATGTTTACATAAGGAATAACAAGAGTTCAACAGTCTTTACTATAACTATTCAAAATACTATTATTAATTCAGTCAAACCTTAATCCACTGGGCTTTAGATCCAGTGAATAAACTTCCCACTGTATTAATGTCATTTTGTGTGTTTTTCTGAAATGACATTATATACAAAGTGTTAATTTCTGCAATGATTTGCAAATTATATGATTGGTGTCATTTGCTATTGTCACTACAGATTTTATTCTCTCTAGTTTAACAAACAGTGAGAAATAATGCATACTTTCTCTTCCCCCCTCCCCTAAATTTGTCATATTATCAGTGTATGATTCACAACTGTTACTTTGGATATCTGTCTTTGTTTAGAGAGCACAATCTGAACTGGCAGCTCATCAGAAAAAAATCTTGTATGTTGACAACCATATTGGTATTTCCATTGCTGGACTTACTGCTGATGCAAGACTCTTATGGTAAATATGGAATTTGATTTATTTGATAGAATGAGGACTTGTTTTAAGTTTATAAATATACATGGAGTGGGTTTGTATCTGATTCCTCATTCAAGCCCTTAGTTCCTGAGACTGTATCCATGTTTCTCCATTCTTTACCTTGTTTAGTGCAGTTGCTGCACACCCTAACCAGGTCTCCCGATAAACCTCTGCTGAATTTAACTATATATATGAAAATTGTTCTTAGTCATTTGTGAGGATTGTATATAAGAATAGTGGTGGGAAAGATTAATTCCACTGCTCCATCCACACAGTTACTGAAAATGCTGAGGGGCTGAGAGTGAACCTGATTGAAATTGCTGCTGTAGGAGCAGAACGAAACACATGGAACATACTTGCTAAGGAGCATCCAATAATTTCATGCCAAAATGAGTTTATTCCCCTTGCCTGTCCTAACTCTTCTATAATCAAATAGTATTATAATATCCATACAAGTAAGCTTTCTATTGAATAAATCTAAGAAGTGCTGAAATTACAAATGGAATAAATTCTGTTTTACTCCTGCAGCAATTTCATGCGTCAGGAGTGTTTGGATTCCAGATTTGTATTTGACAGGCCTCTTCCAGTATCTCGATTAGTGTCTCTGATTGGAAGCAGTATCCTTTTTTCTGTGTGATCATTATTGAGGGTTTCTCACAGTTGCCAATATATTGTTCGATAATCATCTTACTGCAAAGAATTCAGGTAGTTTTATTGTATAATAGCAATAGCACTTAGACTTATAGACTGCCCCATCGTACTTTACAGCTCTCTAAGTGATTTACAAATGTCAGCATATGGCCCCCAATAATCTGGGTTCTCAGTTTATCGACCTTGGAAGGATGGAGGGCTGAGTCAACCTTGAGCGGATCAGGATCAAACTCCTGGCTATTACTATTACTTTTAAGGAAAGTGAGGCAATACAGGGAAATATGGACTGTTCACTGATGTTAAAAATCTACTAATTGATTGAAAATCACAGCCATGTAATAGAAAAATAAAAGTTGAATAGTAAAATGAGAATTTTCTGGATTTTAGATCAAATTCATCTATTCAGGCAAACTCGTCCACAAATTTTACTTCAACATTACATAATTTGGATGAATTAAATTTCATCACTTTTAATAATTTAATGTTGCCTCTTATCATTTCAAAGATTTCCATAATAGTTAATACAACAGATGTTGAACATTCCTATTGAGTATTTTGGATTTTGTTTAATCAGAATCCCATGATTTATTTTTTGATGTTTAATTGGAGATGACACTGGGGGCAAGGTTAACTCTGGTGATTATTTTAAATTCTATGAATAAAATCCAATGCTAGTCTTTTTCTGATGGAACTTCAGCTTTCTGAGAAGAAAGAGGGGAATACTGCTTGAATGATCACTGCTACTGTTATTTTCCATTTGTGTCCTATATCTTAAAACCTGACTGGGGGATGGAGGTGGGGGTTATATTTTAAATTTTGAAGAGTGTATATGAAAGTTTTCATAAAAAAAGTATGCATGTGTAAATCAGCTTTTTGAGATGTATTCCTCAGCTTGTTTAAGAAACACAGATACCAACGCAGCGTTATGGCAGGAGACCATATGGTGTGGGACTTCTTATTGCAGGGTACGATGTAAGTGCATCAACTGTGGGAGACATGTTATTGTATTTTTTTTTCCTGGAGAATTTCACTCCTAGAGTAAACATAGTAGAACTGCAGCAAAAAGAGTTCGGAGTCTTATTCTGTGTCAAAAAACAATTTGTAAGTACAGTAATTATAAACATTGAATAGGAAACTTGGATTTGGAACTTCTTGCAAGATACATTTCAGTTTTAGTATATTATTCAGATGTTTAGGAATTAGGTTCCAATCAACCCAAGCCAGTATAGACAATGCTATGTAATATTTCAGACTGTTTTTGAACATCAAGCTCTGTAGAACTTTTTTTTTTTCAAGGAGACTGTTGTTTCAGATGTGAAGGGAGCTGTTTTAAAAATGGTTGAACTAATTTTGCATTTGAAGTGGGAGGTTTTGGAAAGGTTGCACTTAAAGCTGTTCAGAATGAAATGTGTTGAATGCCCCTAATAGCCAGGGGTTGTAAATTACACTGTAAAACAGCTCAGAAAGCATATATTTTTTATTTTGATGATAGATCAAAACACTGTATGTAAGCTGTCTGATAGATTCCTCCTTTTTTTTTAAAAAAAAATGTCCTTTTAATTTGTCAGGATATGGGACCCCATATCTTCCAGACTTGCCCTTCTGCAAATTATTTTGATTGCAAAGCAATGTCCATTGGTGCACGATCCCAATCAGCTCGAACTTATTTGGAACGACATATGACCGAGTTTGCTGACAGTAAGTACAGCATGTTTGCAGTATCTATCTAGCTATCTAACTATTTATCTATCTGGTTCATCGCTGAACAGTTACTTGGCTATCAGAAATGTGATGAAGAAATTGACTGTGTTTAACCCATTCAGTCCAGAAGATACAGCTTTTCTGAACTAGTCATAAATATAGTTATTTTGCAGGTAACCTGAATGAATTAGTAAAGCATGGACTGCGTGCTCTGAGAGAGACACTTCCTGCTGAACAAGATCTAACTATTAAGGCAAGGCTGAGATTTTTTTTTTTTCTCTCAATTCTATCTGTATCTGAAACACGGCTAATAGTAGTTATGAACATTGTGGAAGAGTGACACATTTATTTTTGTAAAGCAGAACCCAAATTTATAATTAAACATTCACATATAAGAGTATGGAGAGATGTACTTTGAACATTAAAATAATCTGAGAAATCAACTTCTGGCTTTAGGACATATAGCTCTGTCCCTAATGACATATTTTTGTAATCATATAACTTTTAAATACATGCTTTAAGCATTGTTTTTATATGAGTCTATAGCAGGGGTGTCAAACTCAATTTCATTGAGGGCCGCATCAGCATTGCGGTTGCCCTCGGGCCGGGTGTGTGTGGCCAGGGTGTATGCGGCCTACTGGGTGGGCATGGATGGAGTGGGTGTGGCCTACTGGGTGGGCATGGCCAGCTCTACATCATTTGCGTCAAGGGTGCCTGTGGGGGCCTGGGCAGGAATGGGACAGAGCTGAATGTCTCTGGCAGAAGGGAGTGGGACCCGGGCAAGCGCCAAGGCATGGTCCATTTCTTCATTCCTCACAAAGGATGACACCTTCCAGCTTGCACCCAGAGGGCAGGGCCAACACAGCAGGGGCTGGTTCCTCACTGTTTCTAGACGGCCTTGTGGAGCTAAGACTGAATGCGTTTCAGCATAGATGGCCACCACAAAATTGTACCTTGGCTCCCAGCTGGCCTGGGCCAGGGCCAAGGCAGTGGGGGCCGTTCCCTCATTGTTTCCAGGATGGCTTCGTGGGCCACATGAAAACACTTTGTGGGCCACATCCGGCCCCCGGGCCTTGTGTTTGACATGTCTGGTCTATAGGGCCTTAGATATCCTTTTTTGATAGGGAAATAATGTATATTTTCAAATGAGTATATAAAGTAATTCTGACGCATGGAACATTTCAATTTATTGAAATATTAGTATGATTCAGTCCAATTATGGCTTCAGCAAGTTCAGTAAAATGCATTCTTTTTACCCTTTTGAATTGTAACATAATATATATTTTGTATTACTTTCTTGGGAAAGATAATGAATTTCTCCCCCCCCTTTTTTTTTAATATATATATATATAATTGTCATTTAACAGAATGTTTCTGTTGGGATTGTTGGTAAAGAAATGGAGTTTACAATTTATGATGATGATGATGTAGCACCATTCCTGGAAGGTCTGGAAGAAAGACCACAGAGAAAGGTAGGCAAATCACAGCTTGTAAGTGTTTCATTAGGCTATTTTTTTCTTTGTTATATATGCTTATCTCAGTATTTTTTTTCAATCTTGTAACTCAGTAGCTGGATCACATTATGAGACTTTCCATTCTGAGGACTTTTTTTAGATCAGGGGTCCCTGACCTATGGTCACGGCCCATTACCCGCTGGGCCACAAATGGCTGGCTGATACATGTGTGTGCATGCGCGTGCACAGCCCCATTCATGCATTTGCAGCCTTGTTCATGCAAGCATCGCATTTGTGGCCCCACTTGCGCAAACATTGCAGGCATTTGCAGCCCCACACATGAATGCTCACGTCACTATGAGTGTTGTGGGTGCTTGTGGCCCCACTCAAATGAGCGCTCGCAGCCCCACTAGCACGAGGGTCATGGGTGCTCATGGGCCCACTCATGCTAGTGTTGCAGGTGCTCGTGGCCCCCTTGCACCAGAGCTCAGGGCCTCACACAAGTGTCATGGGTGCTCTCGGCCTCACTCGTGCGAGCAACGGGCGAATGCGCATGCATGCACACCTGCCTCTCCCACAAAACCACCCCCACCAGCTGCCAAACGGGAAAGTTTGCAGAACTCTGTTCTAAATTGCCTGTTCTCCAAGGTTAGATGACTGGTGATATAAGAGAATGCCTTTGGAGTGTGATATTCTGTCTCCTGCTCTCCTCAAAATAATTGTAGCATTTACTCATTTGACACTAAAAAACCTCCTTTATTTCTTTTTAACCTGACTAATAAGCTTTTGATTTTAATTTTTTTTAAAAAAAGTGTATTCCTCTCTTGCTCTTTCAAGGATTCTTCCCAGTATCATGCAAACACATTTCCCATTTTTTCTTTCTCTTATTCCCAAAGCAGACTTTTAGAAAAAGGGGGAGATTTGATTTCTTTCCATATATACATTCCATTGGCATATTAAGAAAATTGGACATTTTGCTTAACAGACCAAATGATTATTTTATACACATTTGTGCCCTACATATAAGCATTTTAAATGTATATATGTCTTATAAATAATAACTCTGAAGGTATGAGCCAATTAACAAGTGTAGAAAACGTGAATATTCAGTTTTTCTGGGGATTGGGCTAATTTTTATGAAATACACAAAAGGAACAAAATATTTAAAAATACTGTATATCAAACCAAATTTTGTCACTGTTGAATTTTTAAAGCAGAAAAATTGAAGTATTGGAAATCTCTCAGCCTATTTATTACAACACTGAATATTGGGGGACTATGTATTTATAGAATATTTTGTTGGGGGGGGGTTCACAGTGATGGTTATCTTTATTTCTTTTACTCTTTTAAGCCTGCTCAGCCTGCTGAAGATACAGCAGAAAAGCCCGAGGAACCAATGGAGCACTAAATGCACTGCATAATGTATGCGTTACTTCAGAGGAAATAATGCGAGGAGCATTATTTGTATTGTGGTAACATTAAAATTCAAGGCAAAATGTAGTGATAAAACACCAGTGTTTAAAAGAATTACAAAAAAAAACCCCACCTTATGTTGACAGAAAAAAATAACTGACTTCTATTAAGAAATGATGTCATTTTCTAGAAAAGACTGAAATACTGTTTTATATGAAAAAGCATGTTGCTTTTATGTTGTAAAAACATCTCTGAAATAAATTTTCTTTTATGAAAAATTGTGAGTTTTTTTTTTTTTTTTGCTTTCTGAACTTCGTGGTTTTCTTTATTGAGAATTTTTAAAGGTTTTTACAAATAACAAAAAAAGAACAATAACAAACAAAAAAAAACAAAACAACCCTCACCCAACCCCTCCCAAACCACCCCCTCCATCCCCCCCCCCGAGCTTCCCAGAGCTGAATATAGGCTTAGTTAAAATTTTAAGAAACCTAAACAAATTTTAACAACTTATAAAATAGTTAATAATAAAATATATATAACATAAACATTAAAAAGAAAAAATACTTAAAAAGAAAAAAAAGAAAGAAAGAAGAAAAGAAATAGGAAAAAGAAAAAAAAGGAAAAAAGAGAAAACAATCTATAAAATATCAAAAATTATATACAAGTTATAAAAAAGCTAAATGATATTTTTTTATATCCAATTTATGTTGTATAAAATTTATCCATTTTTCCCATACAACAAAAAATTTCTCTTGCGATTGCTCCTTTAAAAAAGCCGAAATCTTTGCCATTTCCGCCAGATAGGAAACTTTAAAAAACCACTCTTGCAAGGTAGGCAAAGATTCCTTCTTCCAATATTGCCCTACTAACAGCCTTGCGGCTGTAATCAAATTTAACATCAATATAACCTCCTTAGCATCACAATCAGTAACAATACCTAACAAAAATAATTGCGGAGTAAATTTTACCCTCCTTCTAAAAATTCTTTGAATATTCCACTATATCTTAATCCAAAAAGCTTTTATATTTTTGCACAACCACCAAATATGATAATAGGTGGCGTCCAAACAGCCACATCTCCAACATTTAGGCTGTAAATCAGGGTACATGAGAGACATTTTTTGTGGATCAAGGTGCCATCTATAAAACATTATATAAAAATTCTCCCTTAAGTTCTGGGCTTGTGTAAATTTAACATTCCTCACCCAAATAATTTCCCACGTATCCAGTGGGATTGGTTCACCAAAATTTTGTGCCCATTTAATCATACAATCTTTGATTAATTCAGATTCTGAATCCAATTCCACTAGAACCCCGTAAATCTTCTTAATGTGAGTTTGTCTTTGATCCTTTACTTGTTTAAAAAGATTTTCATCTTCTCTAAGCCAGCCCATATTACAATCCATCTTCCATCTGTCCACTATTTGTCTATATTGAAACCATGAATAGGTAATATTTTCATGTACTAAATCTTCCAAAGATTTTAACTGCCAATTTTGACCATCCCATCTAAGTAATTGTGAAAATTGTGACTTTTTTATACTCCTTAAATAAAAAAAGTATACAATATTATTGGATCCCATGCTTTTGGGATCTTGTACCTATGCCAGTATTTTTAAATATCATTATGAATCTCATACCAAGTTAAATCAGAATGTGTAATCTATTTGTAACTATCAAACCAGTTGATAATATAAAATGGGATCCAATTAATTTAAAGACATTCACAGAGAAAGATTTCTGCCAGGGATGTGCAAGATGGACTCTTGCAATATTCTGAATTTCAAAAATTATTTCTGGCAAAGAATAAAAAAGGGAAATAAAAAAATGTGGCTGATCTTAGAGCCACTAAATTATAAATGACTTAGATGAGGGAATAGAAGGGGATCTAATCAAATTTTCAGATGACACTGAGCTGGCTGGAATAGCCAGCACCCCAGAAGACAAGCTCAGAATCCAAAAAGATCTTGACAGACTTGAACAATGGCCCTATCTGACAAAAAGATATTTAATGTGTAGAAAATCAAGGTTTTACACCTGGACAGGAAAAACCAAAGGTGCAAATACAGATTAGACAAAACCTGGCTCAAAAATAGTAACTGTGAGAGGGACCTTGGAGTCCTAGTGGACAATCACTTAAACATGAGCCAGAAATGTGCACCGGCAGCCTAAAAAAAATAATACAATCCTTAGCTGTATAAACAGGTATAGAATCAAAATCACGTGAAGTATCGTTTTATAAAGCCTTAGTAAGGACACATCTGTAATACTGCCTTCAGTTTTGGTCACCATATTAGAAAAAAGATGTTGAGACTTTGGAAAAAGTGCAAAGAAGAACAACTAAGATGATTAAAGGCCTGGAGATTAAAACATGAATGGTTGCAGGGTTTGGGAATAGCCAGTCTAGAGAAAAGGACTAGGGGAGACATGATAGCAGTATTCCAGTATTTGAGAGGCTGCCACGAGGAGGGGGTCAATTTATTTTCCAAAGCAGAAGAAGGCAAGACAAGAAACAATGGATGGAAACTAATCAAGGAGAGAAGCAACCTGGAATTGAGAAACTTCCACAGGACAATTAACCAGTGGAACAATTTGCCTTCAGACATGAGCGTGCCATTACTAGAAGCTTTTAAGAAGAGACTGGACAACCATTTGTCTGAAATGATAATAGGGTCTCCTGCTTGAGCAGGGAGCTGGACTAGAACAGAGGTCTCCAACTTTTTGGGCACCAGGGACCAGTTCCATGGGGAAAGGTTTTTCCACGGACTGGAGAGTGTGGTTTTGTGTGCTGCCTGAATCCCACGGATGGGGCTTTGCTTGTTTGTGTCGACCGGTTGCTGGCATGCCGCAGCCCGATACCAATCCACGGACCGAGGGTTGGGGACCCCTGGACTAGAAGACCTCCAAGGTCACTTCCAGCTCTATTCTGATTCTGATATCAGAGTGTTGGAGAGCTTTCAAGCATGAAGTGTGGAGGTAGAGTAATCTCAAAACTTGCTGTAAAAAAAGTGGATTAAAGTTTGTAAATTCTGTGGATTTGCAAGTTAAGGTTTTAACACTTTCCATCTGACGGACCCCTTGGCTGCTGTGAAACAAAAAACCAAGCAGAGTTCAATTTAGGACTTCAGACAATTTATACCGTAACCTTTCAAATGAATTCACACCTGGGTCTTCGAATCATTCAATTCCTGATAACTGGTGTTTTCAAAAGTGATTTAGTTTTGCCTGCTTCCTAGGGTTAAAAGGGAGTGATTGTCCCAAAGTCACACAAGTGGCTTCATTCTTAACTGGACTAGTTTCTAGCCTGGCGCTTAACTACTATACCAAACTGCTCTCCGCACCTAGGTACACAATTGCGCCCACGTTCTGTTCCCTTAAGACAGTGTTTCTCAACCTTGACAATTTTAAGGCATGTGGACTTCAACTCCCAGAATTCCACAGCCAGCTATGCTGGCTGTGGAATTCTGGGAGTTGAAGTCCACATGCCTTAAAATTGTCAAGGTTGAGAAACACTGCGCTTAAGACATTTTTTTAAATTAAGAAAGTAAGAGGGGGAGGCTAGTATATTGTGCAAAATTTGTTATAGGAAAAAAAGCTGTCACGTTAAAGAAAACCTGGTTCTTTAATAAGCCAAATTTATATTAAGGGTCCATCTAAGTCGGGTCTGCAACATTGACAACTTTAAGACTTGTGGAGTTCAGCTCCCTTTCTGGGAGCTGAAGTCCACAAGTCCTAAAGTTGTCAAGGTTGCAGACCCCTGATCTAAGTAGCCGGAATGTAAATAATGAAGCGCTAAACAGATTCCAGGGAAAATGTCTAACAAGTGACTAGGTTAGGTGCTTCCCCTGTGCTTAAGTTAGCGATTCCTGTGGGCAAGTTTTGAAAAAGTACTCTGGCAACTACACAAGTTAACTTCCCAGCCACGTGTATGAAGGAGCATCCACGCCCGTTCTCTTCAGCCTTTCTCCGCGCTTCCGCCCGAGTCGCGTAGCTCTTGAACTTTGCCAGAAGAGGACGGATTTCTCTGAAGCTAGTGAACGCTTTTGCTAACGGAGGAGGCGTGTCCTGAAAGGGCCGCCGTAGTAGAGAGCTGGCCTGTGCGCCCAGGGCTTCCACGTCAGCTGGAGCAGGCGGCGGATGCCAGCAGGACCGGAGAAGGGAGCAGCAGCTCTGCGACGGCCGACTGAGGAAGAGGCGGCCGCCGCTGGCGCCGCGCGGGTTCAACAGCGGCGTCCGATTCTGCCACGGGTCACTCGGCTGAGGTAGCTGCGGCGGCCCCCGGGTCGTTTGCAAAGGGCTGGGAGGGCAGGCGGGCCGGGGAAGTGCCCGCATAACACTGATTGTCTGGAGGCAGGCAGGCAGCAACGGGCCGAAGCAGCGGGCTTTCTGGGTGAAAAATTTGGAGTCGCCGACGTAGTAAAAGGAGAGGACCCTTCTCGCCGCGAGCCCCGATCCTCCACCTCCTCCTCCTATCGGGTGTGCACCCGACTTTCCCCTTCCCGAAGCCGCCACCTTTCAGATCTTTCCGCGGGGCCTAAGAGCCACCAGCCAGCCTCGCCCCGTAGGGTAGGGAGGGCTTTGCGGTCCTTCCACGGCAGGGCGTCGGGGTTACTCCGTTAGGAATACAGAATGCCGTGTTCCGGGATATTCCTCCGAATGAATGAAGACAAGGCGGGGGATGAATGCTCGGCTGGGGCTGGAGCCTTCCTGCCTTGGGGGGACTCGTTTGAGGTTCCCAAAGCATCGGTGCCGTGGCCCCCTGAACGCCTGTGGGCCAAGGAGACTCCACCAAAGTATAGCAGGGGAAAGAGCCATTGGGGGCCATCCAATCCAACCGTCTACTCGGCTCCCCCCCAATTCTTCTTCCTGTGCCTTCTACTCAATCTTGATTCCCAATTACCTAAACTAGACCCTACAGCTTTCTTGGCAGTATTTTTTCAGAAGTGGCTTGCCATTTCCTCTTTTCTAGGGCTGAGAGAGAGTGATGGGCCCAAGAGCTGGTTGGCTTCGTCACTAAGGCAGGAGTAGAATTCAGCCTCCTGTTTTGTAGCCTGGTGCCACATCAAACTGCTCACTTTAGGAGCTCAAATTAGAACATCCCGGGTTGATACCTGCCAAGCCTCCCTTTAAACAGCATCGATGAGAGAATTTGCTAAGTTACTAAAAGGAAATCCTTCATACTGATCTAGCCAGTAATAAATGTTATCAGTTTTAACTGTCTCTCAAAGTCATAATAGTGGTTCTGCCTTTTCCAGCTAGCCAGCAGGATGTAGCTTAC